GAAAATGGAATCGGAATCGTGAAAATCTTATCAATACCCATCCCTACTAGTTACTACTACTTACTTGTCCAAGCTGTGATTATATGAAACTATAAGTATAACTGAACTTAAACTTTGTTCTATTAATATGAGTTAGAGTATGGAGAGCCATCCATCCAAGTATGTTATTTGAGTCCTCAGTAATGTAATGTGTAAATGGTGACGTCACACAGCCCCCTCCATCTTCACTTTACAATCTATAGTCAATATATGTTCATAACTTTACTTAATTGAATTTGCCTGCAGCAGGTTGTTGGTGTAATTTAGAGATTGACTGCTGACAGCAGGCTGAAACAATCAGAGGATGACGATAGCACTGCACTGTAAAGAGGTGGCTGTACATTATAAAACTTACTGGCAGGTGGATGCAAGTAATTTACTGTAAAAAATGTTCACAGTAACTTTGTAAACATTTGTATAGCAAAATAAATAAATAAATAAATAAATAAAAATCCTGCTGTAATTGATTTTACAGCAAAAGTTCTGCAACTGAAATTTGCAGTAATTGATATAACTTTACTGCAAATATCACAGCAGCAAATACTGTAAAATCACTGTACTTGTTATAATAAATATAATAATAATAATAATAATAATAAATAAATTTTCAATATAATTAATTGTCAATTTAATTTACTGTGTTTGATGTTATTTAATTTACAGTAAAATTACAAACCTATTACAATATTCTGTTCCAGTCAAGTAACTGTAAATTTAACTTAGAGTAAAATTACTGTATAATTCAATTGTATTGTCTTACCATTACTGTAATGTCTTACTGACATTACAAAAGTTTGTTGCAGTGTGTATTAATCTTGTTTCATTATTATTTAAACATTGTTGTAGTTCTCTTTAATAAACGTGTCTTCAGTTCCAGCCTCAACTTCCAGTCTTTTTGCACTTTATTCTCATATTAACGGGCTTCTCTAATATTTTTTTGACAAAGTCCCGCACATAACATTTAGATTTTTTCTGATTAATGTTTTTAAATTTTGAGCTGATTTTAACAGCAGCAGTCGATTAAAAAAAATAATCCATCCACATTCAGTCTCGTCCATTTCACATCATTCAACTCAGATGATCACACACAGTTCCGAGCTGAAAGAAATACAGGATGGGACATTTATATGGATACACCATAATAAAATGGGACTGGTTAGAAGTCGGCCATCTTGGATTCAACTTTTGTTTTTTCTAATAATAATAATAATAATAATAATAATAATAATAATAATAATAATAATACATTTTATTTGAGGGCGCCTTTCAGAAACCCAAGGTCACCTTACAAAAAACACAATTAATAAAAGGAACAGTAGTCATAAAATACATAAAATAAGTTAAAATTATAAAACAGAGCGTGACAACAGATAAAATCAGCATTAAAGCGAATAAGCCAGTTTAAACAGGTGTGTTTTGAGCTGTGTCTTAAATACGGAAAGGTTGTCAATATTTCTTAGTGCAGGAGGAAGAGAGTTCCAGAGGACCTTTTAGGGAGACCAAATAGGAGGGAATTACAGTAATC